CCTCGTGAGAAAGGTCTTACTCACGACACTGTTCAGAATTCTTCAAAAGTCTGCCAAAAGATATTCAGATTTATCGTCGTATGCGGATTTATAATTCATTTGGATGGATCTATAATTCTATATATTGAATATATATTGAATTAAAAATTGTTGAACATCCTAATATTTTTTTTAATGAATAAAATTTATTTGTGTATAGAGAAATTATAAAATTTCTAATTAACAAATATATAATTGATCAGTAATTTATATAAGATATAACTACAAGTATATAAATTGGAATAAATTTAATAAAAGTTGATATTAAAAAAATTTGATTTCAATTTATTATTTCATATGAAAAAATTATTCAATAATGAAAAGGAAAAATTCCAATTTTTATAAGAAATATTAATTGAATTAAAAAATTAAATTCATAATTTTTTATAATATCAATTGATCTGAAATATATAATAATTATTAAAAGTAAAAATACTCCAGAAATTACTGAAATTGCATAATAAATTATCTCGTCTGGAAACTTTTTTCTTATGTGTTTCGAATTAAAAGAAAAAGAAAAAGAAAGGAATAAAATATAGAATACACGTATTTTCGAAGAGTCGACAAGTAAAAGAAAAAAGAAATGTTAATGGTTGAGGAAAAAAAGGAATGTTTTTTAATTTAAACAAAATGTAAAACCTTCGCCTCCTCGTCTGACAGACGACCTGAAGTTTAATTGAGAATTAAATTTACATACGGTCTTGGTGGACTTTTCGAGGTCGTGGATGGAAAGATTATATCTCTGCGCTTTCTCGTTCCTTCGTTTATTCTTCGTCTACCTGGGAAGGGAGGGAAATGTACTTACAGGATTGGATTAAAAGATGAAACAATATTCGAGGAATAATTTTTTATCTCGCCGGATGAATTTTCCCTTTTTCTTTTCACTCCCCTCCCCCTTTTCTCTTAATCTCTCCCTTCTTCCACACCGTTAAAATCCGTTCCACACCATAATCCGATCTAATGAATAGATTTAATTGAACCTTCTCTTAGAAGAATTCTTAATTCGTTTCATCGGGGTCTGTTTCTCCTCTCGTTAGCCTCTATCGATAAGACTTCGGGCAAAAAAGGGGATGGCTTCGAATTCGTCCAAGATAAAGGCAAATTCGACTTTAATTCGTCGAGAAATACTTGGCATTCGATTAAAAAATATCTCAATTCCTCGCCAAAAAGAACATCTTGTGGATAAGAATTCTATTTTAAACTCTCCAATTTATTTACAATTATGGTAAGAAAGTCGCTTCCCTAGATTCTAAAATTAGAAAATTGATTTCTTTGAAGCGTATTATATTTATACGAGATGCAACTTTCTACGATTCTCATTATGGACTACGATCCATCAACGAGATGTTGTTGACACTTTGCCACGCGCAGATATTAATTTAATAATTATTGCACGCGAATGACTCGATAACTCGACGTATCGAATCGTTATGAACGTTGCTTTAATTTCTGTGCGCATCGAGAGATAAGGAAAGCGGATGGTTTAACGGATGTTAGAAATGGCGACTTACCGGTCGGGCTCGGCGTGAGCGATTTCATCGCCACCTTCACGTGGATGTCGTACCGCTCGAAAAGTCTCAATTTCCGCCCTTTGCTTTTCTGCAACGTGTGGATAGCCGAGGTCACCGCTTTCGTGTACTCCCTCACCTCGAAGGACTTGTGAGGAACCATCATGCCCACCTGTTACACGCAACAGTTCGAATTAGCGCGGCAAACGGGATCGAAATTTTTTCGTATTCTACTCGCGTTGTTGTATCATTTTCAATGTATCGAATAGAACTCGAATAATTTATTATCCGAAATTATTATTAAACATATATTCGAGCATTTTTCAATAGCGAGTAAATGGAATTTTTTAATTGAATTCGAGTAATTCAAGAAATTGAAATTGTCGAATAATTTTTATAAAATAAGAGAAAAAGATATGGGAAGTTTATGTAAT